TACTATTATTAAATTATTAAACTCTTCAAAATTGTTTAATTACTAAGTGCTGTTTTAAAATTGCTTTATTTTTTAATCATTTTAATTTTTCATATAAACAAAAGTTGAAAGACAAAGTTCAAGCTCTGGAACTCGAAAGACTCCCACATACATTCATTAAAGGTCACGTATTGCGATAAAATCTACAAAAACACTGCAAGATTTCACACTCAAAAAAATATTTCGCTGATGTAGTTAGATTTCTAGATATCGCAACAAGAATGTATCGCTATTTTTCGTATCTGTGAAAACATTGTTTGTCACATACAGAATTTATAGCAGTAATGTTCTAGCAATAGCTTCTGAAAAATTTAGGTACCATTGCTAAATGTTATTCATTGCATGATCTAACACGTGATTGATCTTATACAGATAGGCGCTTTAGAGAAACTTTCTTTTTAAAGTTCACAAACAATACAGATATATATTCTGTTTCTGTCATCTAAACTGATTAAGTAATTACATATGCAATATCACAACAGTTGCTAATCATTTATCTGTTTTAGTTAATTTTTTACACCTAGAAAATTTTAGCTATTATTGCAAGATCATTTTTTTGAGTGTAGATAAAATTGATATTGATCTTTTGTATTAATTTTATCAAAAATAAAACAAATTGCGAGGTTCGGTAATTTTCCTGCAGACGAATGATATAAACGATATTTCTTTTTAAAGTCTTGTTAGATCGTGATTGATTGAGTTATCGTATAGCTTCAACAATAACATAAGTACAAATTATGCTTGTTGCTGCGCAAAGTGAATATCATGGATAAACTGTCAGACGCGGAATGCGAAATCATAAGTTTCGCTAAGTGAAACGTATCCAAAGTGATAAACATGGTACAACCGGTACTTTGGATTTAGTGGTTACGAAAGGATAGCGTGACCGCGGCTACGGCATGCACATCGTGAACTTGACAGTGACCGATAAAGCATGCTCGTCCGCGAAATACGCTTCGTTATGTAGCCGTCATGTACCTTCGTTGCTCAAGAGGTCCTTCAGATACTGTTACTCGTTTGACATATTACACCTCTGATTGCTTTGATACATTAAACCGGTTCGACAGTAAGCACTTGAGTAACGGTTTAAAGAATTAGTTATGATTAAATTAATTTGTAAGGTCATTAATAATATAGTAAGTGTTATCGTGGCGAGCAGCCAATTTTGCTGCTAAGTAACGCGTTTGCCTAAAATTACGTTCGCTTCTCGCATTTCGGGATAACATCTGGCACGCATTTCAAGCTTTATTAATAAATTAATATTTGAATAAAAAAAAATTGTGGAATAAAATTGCATGGAAGGCAAATTTAATAAAAAAATTTGCATATACAATTATATTGAATAGAGAAATCTATTACATTCTTAATATAATTTTATATTTCTATCCTTACATTGCTATTTTATTAATGTATTTTGCATCTACAGTTTATACTTGAAATTCTATTTATCAAAATTTATCGTTTATCACATATTGTTTTATTGCTAGATTCTTGAACGTCGAAGATCATTCCTATTGAATTAAACTATTTGTTTTTTCCCGAGAAGAGAGAATTAGGACGAGTAGATATGTCATGAGATACTTACCCTCCTTCGAGCTAATTGTTGATCAAGTCGCCTTCTGCAACTTATGAGACACTCCCATATACCGGCGCCCGACCTGCCATTTTGATAATGGCCATTATTACCGTTGCCATTTTGATGCCGGTAATCCTCTTCGGTGAACTCGCAGACATCGAGTGGATGTCTCGATCCATCAGGGCTACCCAACAGCGCGGTCGCTGAGAGCTGATGGCTCACCGATCCGCTGCAAATTTTTTAAACGTTCCATGATCCGTGCCACGAGATATACAATACATTGACGCAAGCATTAACTTTTTAAAAATAAAATATAACAATTATAATTTATTGGTCATTTTGACCACATGACAATTGTATTTCGAATTATGTTTGGCGAAGAGATAAATCAGATGCAGCATTGTTTTTCAATTTTGAATCTAATATTCATCATATAAATTTTTAATTTATTAATAATTTATTTTGCAAATATGAAATTATTACGAAGTCAAGGATAATTAATATTAATTCACATTGGAAAATGTTACAGAGTAATTTCCGTGAATATCTGAATTATTTCCATTGGTTCCATTTAATTTCTAATTTACGTGTTGTTAATAATCAGAGGAAATTACTTTGTTATGGATATATGCAAACAAACAATAACAACTGTTTTATCTCTTTCTGTTTTACGATGATTACAATCGTCAACTATTTAAAGGTGCTCGATGGTACTGAAGATCGGATCGATCCGCTGTGGAATTCCGTACTCTCCGTGAAATCTTATGAGAGAAATTTAAAGAAGACGTAACCGAGTGTTGCGCGATATTTTCACCACATTGATCGCTCAAGTTCTATAGAAATTCTGAAACTGTTTCTACGCTGGTTGGTTTATACGACATAGTGAAACGGTATTTTGTTTTCGATGTTTGCGCACAATTACGACACAAAATTACACAATAAATTAGTGAAAGAAAAGTTGTGTTTCCGTGCAAAAAATTTTTGCAAACATTTTTTATAGCTGAAGCTAAGATTGATATCAAGAGTTATGAGAATATAATCATTAACATCATTCGTCCTGGTCAATATCTTACGAGCTCATGTCAAATGTCGACGTTAGATGATGAATGTAGGCAATTGACCTCCTGTAGGTTCCATGCGCAGACTCTTAATTTATTTCTAGGACGAACGGAAGGAGTATGCGGAGATAAACCGCTTTTGGCTGCTGTCCCAGAAGTTGAGTTTGCAAACTGCGCGTTAGGGAAGTTACAAAGTATACAGGGTATTCCACACTAACCGCGTCATACTTTATCTATGAATTTTTAGTTTAACTTTCGATTTTTTTTTCACTGAAAATCTTACGGAATGTCACTTTCTAAGACAAACTCTAAATTTCGAACGTTAATTATGTATTAATATAGTTGAGTCTTGAAAGAAGATTTGTTAAACACAATATACAGATTTTATCATGTATTTGCTTTTGCAAATGAATTTTTCGATAAGCCAAAAAATTATTCTTAATTCCTTACACATCAAAAGTTATTATTTTTATTGCTTTCTTTTATAGAAAAAATAAACTCCATAAAAAAATTGAAGCAAGCCAGATACGTCTGAAATATCCTGTATAAAATCACGAGTTCTTACCTATCTACCGCAATGCGACCATTGCACGTTACTATCCGAGAAAACTGAAATTTATTTGTATGCCTTTTTCCCATTCTGCGTGAAGAAAAGAACGTGATAAAGTTTAGGATTGGCTTGCCCTAAATTACCTGTTATTAATTATTTCGATCCTCTTTTGTGCTCCGGAATACTAAACGATATCCTTTCGCATTCTATACATTTTACACGACTCACATTTCCACTTTTTATATATTTATGTACGTTTCATTACGTTACATTAACATTAACGAGACCATTAATCTAACGTGATTGTTTTTTTGCTCTTCTATTTTTTTTAAGAAAAAGATTACTTTTCATAAATAAAAATGTGTAGCAGGTTTATTTCGCATAGCTTATTTGACAAATATGAAGTTAAGTCATATTTGTTTTCTGAAAAATTTTTATTGATTTTTTAATCTATTTTATTTTTAAAAGTCAGCTCGCAATAATATATAAGAAAGTAATATGTTCAGCGTTAAAAAATTCACTTATCCATCCTTTTTTGTTGAAAAGCATTATTAGAGAGAAAAATTAATCGGTAGCCGTTCTATGCTAAGATTAATTAAAGCAAACGATCGTAAAAAAAAGAGAAACTATTTCACATCTGATACTTGATAGAAACCCCGCGGGAAAAGCACGCTCCATCGCAAATTACTTTCCTCTCTTTCTCTCTCTCTCTTTCTCTCTCCCTCCCTCTTTCTCTTTTTCTCTCTCTCTCTCTCTCTCTCTCTCTCTCTATTTTTCCTGTCCTTTTTGGGTGTTCGTTAAAGTTTTTCCCAAAACAATCGTGTGCCATTGCGCGCGCACATACGCAGTCGTTTGCGTCTCTGTATGTGTATATGTGTATGTATACAAGCTCGTATCCTGTAAAGCGAAGAGTATACGACACTCTATCGCTTTCCCACCACGTTCGCTAGGTGGGCGAGGCACCTGCGACCTCTTTTGCTGACCCATTTACGAGCTACGAGATACGGTACGGCGTTGCGATTCTAAATGGAAAATCGAACCATCCCCTAGTTCTTCCACGTGTCGAGGGCGATCAACGAAATACCTGGCAACCGAGGCACCCGATTTCGTCATCCCTATCTCGCACCCTTCTCATTTTTCTTATACATCTCTTCTTTGTTTGACATTACGATGACTTGATGCGTATAAGATTGTTCAAAGTTAAAGATATTTTTTGAAGTAGTAAGAGAGAGAGAGAGAGAGAGTGAGAAAATATGTCATCTAGTTTGAATTATTTAGTAGTATCCAACTATTATCTTAGAGTTTTGTGATCTATAAGTCCTTCCAAATTTTCGTTAATTTGGATTTCGATTTTAACACAAACTTGATAATATGCACTACACACTAGGTCATCGAAATAAAAAACGAGAAAGTATTTTATAATTAATTTAATGAGATAAATTGCAATCTCAATTATTTCTTTTGTAATGCACTGAACATTAATATTTTTTCTCCAAAGCTTTTGTGAAAAATAGATTATTGAAACTGATTCTGTATTAATTCGTATGATCTAAATATATGATATCACACTGTGTTCTACTAACTTCTAATTATACTTCACACTTTACTTGTTGCGATCATTATCGAACTATAGGGCAATCTATATTATTACCTTCTAATTATCCCATATTCAACAGTTTCTTCATTAAACAATTTCCATCATTAAAAAGACTTTATTTTCGTAAGTTCTCGAAATCAGGCAGTAGTTTTTTGAAGACATAGAAAAAATATATAACGATTATATTTATAACGTCGTTTGGAGTTTGCTATTTGTCGCTTTCTATCAATTATCACGAAAAATCTACGTTTTTTTAGCTATTTTGATCTTTTTAAGAAGTCAATTATTTTGCAAAATATTCTTTTGCTTTATAAATCGTGTTTCTCAAAAGAATTATATGTAGCAATTATTCACTATTAATTAGATATTTGGCGCGAGACACAGCTGCGTTTCTTAATTGCTCCTTTGTTACATAAATTAACAAAATAGTAGCCTACTTCCTTAGACTCTAATGCTTTCTACTTTACTTAAACTCTTTCTAAACAGAGTTTTCCATCGATATTATGTTACAAAATTAAACATATTATTCTGTAAATTAAAATTGTTTCAAAATACATTATCCGCATTAATAACAAGCAAGCACTATCTTTTATTATTACATTATTATTTTAATATTTTATGATACAATATATTTACTCCGATTAATCATTTCTATTAAATCAAATAAGGATGATTGAAAAGACTTTAGGTAATCAAATAACTGTCATTCGCGTGGCTTAGTGTGCTGTCATATTTTTAATAATAATAAATTTAGATAAAGAATAAATTACAGTTAAAAATTATTTTGAAAACTATCAGCTGAAAAAAAGGAGCTAACTTTAGTGGATCATAATTCTGATATTTCTCTTCTAATTTTGTCCATTTTTATTTAGATATATAAATGTTTGTATACGCGAAAAGTGCATATTTGATTTATTATTTCTTTTAGAGAAATATAATAATTTTAAATATGTTTTTTAAGCAAATATGTCCAGCCTTTGCCGTGCGTTTGTTAAACGTATTTGTGCAAACTCATCGTAGTGTATAACCTACAGCCATATCTTTCTTTTCAATAAAACTTGAAGGCTACTTTAATACATCGCGCAATAATTAAATTGTCAGAGTGAAAAATCAAGTGAATAAAATAATTCAATAATACATATTTTTAGTATCTCATAATAATTAATTGTCACGAATCCATATTGAAATAATAAATTTAAATCTTGAGTAAAAATTAAAAAACAGGCACATATCTTTTTCTTTAAAATTAAACGAGCAAATGAAAATAATCTTGCTTCTGTTCTTAAAATAGTTATAAGAATCGTTCATATTTCTTTCTGCTTGTAATTATTAATTTTTTTAAATAGATTACTTCTTAGTTAATAATTAATTTTCAATTCAAATTTATATATCACAGCCCTTAATTGCTTATCACATATAGCCGTGTTCCTAAGTTGAAGTTGCTGTTGCTATTTCGGGATAAGTAACAATACTTACCCAAGGTAATCCCTGGACGAGATAGACTCCCATGACATGGCTGTGCGTCTTCCTTGGCGCGTCTTCTTCTCTTTGTCCCGCGATGCAGCTGTTTCTTCTCTCTTTCTCTTCCTGGTACTCTAATCTCATCTCTCGCCGCCAGCATTATCTCGTTCGCGCACCCGCGTAAGATAGGGCATATCACTTCCTTGCTTTGCGAATGACACAGCGCGCAACCACGCCGAAACTCGATACAACGCGCGCCGACTTGAGGCCCTAATCGTCCGCATTCAATCGATCCCGAAGACTCGATGTTGTAACGGTTAGTATCGAGTCCTATCTATCGCGCGATGACGAATTCGAAGATTGAGCGGACGACGATCGGGATTCTGTGCGACGCAAAACACGCTAGAGATACGCGTCCGTTTATATCGATCATCTTACGAATTCAATCCAGTGTTTCTCTCATGCTCCTGATGGTATACGCGTATACTCGTGACGAGAAACAGAATGTACGTACGTCGAAAAATCTCTCGTATCTCGATCGAGAGTGATTCGCCTTGATTCGTGGCAATATTAATTCATGTGTGTCACGTGAGGATTAATTCCGTCGCGAGAACGCAAGTCGTGTCGAATTAGTCGGAAAGTTTTTTAAGTTCTAGGACTTTCAGTTGGACGAGAATGCGCGGAATGATTGTTCCTCGATTGTACCTTGTCCTCAAGAATACATTTGGGTATTTGGGATTTGAATCGCGAGCCGACAGTCGTTGAGGTAGATTGAGGATCGTCTGAGTTGGGTGCCTAACCCCAGGGATGGGGAATTTTGGACAGACTCGATACGCTTATTTACTAACGTAGAGGGATGCACACCTCGGTCGAGAAAAATAATATTTGCACGCCCGCGTGTATTTGTACTTATACGCCTAATTGAGCACCGTGGACTCGCGCGAATACTTGCGCGTATTGACGAGAGAGATAGAGAGCCTCGTAATCTTTATTTTTCTTCTTTGTCTCTCTCTCTCTCTCTTGCTCTCTCTTTTTCTTTCTCTCTCTCTCTCTCTCTCTCTCTCTTTTCAACGTAATTGGCAAATGTTTTTAACGTAATTGGCAGTTTCTCCGATCAGCTGAGCACTGATCGATAAAAAATTGTTTCAGGTTTCCGGCTCGTTAACACGTGTAACACAAACGACCGCTCGAGTCTCACGGTACTTAAAATATTTTCTTCTTTCCTTCGATCCGAACTCTCACAGAGTACATAACTGCTTCGTAAGAGCAAACAACTTTTCTTCGTTTCGCTTCTCGCGCGCTTGCACTTTGCAATTTCGTGCGATTTTCAATTCTTGGAAAGTTATCTTCGCGTGAGTGTTGTTTTATTTCTAACGTATATACTTTTCGTGTAGTCGAGTTATCGATGTTTGATTATCGAGTACCGCGTAACGTCATATACTATGTAATACTTCAACGTCGTGATTTAGATCTATGTGAAGGTTCAACACACATATAATATTTGCATATACGCATCTATGTTGTACTTAAATAAATTTATAACATGTACGTAGATATATACATTCAATAGATCCCCGCGGCGTTCCGCGTTTGTGTGCGTGTCTATGTGTACCCGTATGTGTATGCGTAAGCACGCAATATTTTCTTATCGAACGCATTAATATCTCGCTGTATTAAGACAGCGACAGTCGATTGCCCAAATTACTCCGGCGTGTCGGACGGTGCAGAACGGTGCGTTTAATTTCACGCGCTTAACCCTCTCTTGCTGTTTCGGGACTAAACGATAAACATGAAAGGGGGCCTCGTACGATTATAATATATCACCCACATTTATTAATGCTACGTGAACGTTTGTGTGTGTGTGTGTGTGTGTGTGTGTGTGTGGTGCGTCTGTGCGACGCGTCTACGTGTGTTCAGCACCGAAAAGATTAAGGGACGCTCTGTCCCCGAAACTAGGAATCACGTCGGCCCGCGGTGTCCCAGTTACCGTCGGTGACCCCTGGCGCGCTTTTTCTCCCCCTCCGAACCCACCCCTCCGTGGACGAGTGTTCTAACTTTGTGAAAGCTCGCGTAAGTGAGATACGCGGATTCTTGTCCACGAGATTTCAGGCAGATCCATCGAGCGTTCTTCGCTAAGCTTCGCCGCTGTTTCGCTTTCCAGCGATTATTTCGCAGGAGGTTTTGTCGCTTTTCGACGCGAGTTCCGTTTATCTTTTCGCTCGTATATCCTTTGCAACTGGTGCAAGTAGCGAGTGGTGTGCGTGTGAGTTGAGCCTTTAGAATATTATGGCGCGTCGATCCGCGAAGACGCACGTAATCTCGGCGACCCTGCCGCGGTAGCGGGCGTCTCTCCCGTCGTAGCGAATGTCGCGATTAAATCGGAGACGACGGACGTCCCGTCCGAGATGATCACGGCGACTCGGCCGACAGGCGGTCAATGTTCGAATCCGGCGCCCATCGCGCACCGTGCGTCCGCGTACGTTCGAGGGCCGAGCAGCGGCGCGTAGTAGCGGCGATAGCAACGCGGCCGTTCCCGCTTGCTGGCGATAAGACAGTAGCCGCGCGCGCCACGAGGCGTTTCCTCATGCCGTTGTTGATTGATCCCCCGTTCGTCTCTCGGACTCCAGCCGCGATCCGGCCTTGTCCCCCTTCCGCCGTCTTCCGTACGCTACCAGCGCCGTTCGCCCCTCTTTCTCCTCTCGCTCCGGCACTTGGTCGCGCGCGCGGAACGTCGTTCGCGGCCGCTCGCTATCGCAACGAGGACAGCCGAGGTCGCACAACGCGCGCGGAAGGTTACGGGCGCGCGATGCGGATCGTGTGAGGCCCCCGCTTCTCGTGCGCCGTCCTGCGCTCGCACGCCCTTTCCTTTCTCACCCCCTACTCTCTGCCGGCCGCCCTTCTGTCTCCCGCTGACGCGCGTATGGGGTTTGGTCCTCTCGCGGAGGGTACGCCGCGCGGCACCCGCGAAAATCCACCACCGGTGGCCGGAGCAGAACTGTCGCGCCCGAGCCGCAGCAGCCCGCAACACACGACCCAACCGATCCTCTCCACCCCTGCCTCGGGCTCACCCCTCGCCCCTGTTCCACCCCAGTTCCGCCGCTGTCCTCCGCCCTCCACACTGTGTCGATCTCTCTCTCTCTCCCTCGCCCTCCCTCCTCCCCCTCTCTGTCTGTTCCGCTCTTCTCTCACAGCTGCGCGTCCCGCAACCTTTGGCTCCATTCTTCTCTCTCTCTCTCCCTTCCGCGCCAACCCCGTTCTTCCCCCCGTTTTCTCATTCTTCGAATCCTTCATCGCCGCCCTCTCTGTCCTCTCCATCGCGAGCAAACCACCCTCCGACGAAAGTTCTTCTTCTGTTTTCCCCAGCCTCTCTCCGGACGACCGCTCTTACTCTCCGCTTCGTCTATCAGCTTCATTCCGCTCTTGATCTCTGTCCGTCTTCTTCCCCGTTATTTCTCTGCGCTTTCAACCTTACGTTGGATAGCTAAATTTTCTCCACACGTTACTCGTCCTCGTTACTTGTCTTGTTGCAACAAACTCTTAAACATCGCTCAATACACTGGTTTGTCACAAATTTGCGAACGATAGACGCGATAATTCTGCACCAGTGGTCTGCAAACATGCTCGATTATGCAATGTTTCATTACAATGATAAATAAATGCCATGCGCTTTCAACGAACAGACTGTTGTATTTTTACCATATCGAATTTTGATGATGGATTTCTGATAAATTCCAAATAGATTCTTCGATTTTAGATATTAAAAGTGTTTTTTACGTAATTTTTTCCTTAAAATTCTGTTTACTAATATTCTTTCAAAATAAAATTTTAAAAATTTATATTAGAAAGCTTAATTTATAATAGCTTTCAATTAATTTGCTGTAAATTTTTAATTAAACTGCCCATGTTATCATCGAATTTTTCGTTTTTTTAATATCTCAAAAAATGTTCACGCATTTTAAAACACCGTGTAATTCCTGCCTTTATTTTAACAAAAGAGTGAAATTGCTATTTCAATAAAAATTGTATAATATGTTTTTGGAGACTATAATTGATTTTATTAGATTAATTGTTGGAGTAATGAAACACATTTGAATCACTATTTTTCCTGCATTAATATTTTCGACATGTTGGTTTCGAAAAAAAAAAAAGAAAAATATGAATCATGATGATATAAATAAACGAGGCCTACGTTTCAAGCCATAGCATTTGTAATTCGAAGTTGCCTTTGAACTTTATTAGCTTCGTTTCTTTTACGTTGCGGTAACAAATATTTGATTTTCGGTTTGCTTCTTCGCTTCTTTTCTCCGCAAGTTCTATATATAAGGATTCTATAAAAAGGGGATGATATTCGGAAGTCTAATTCTTCCCCTGGAAGAAAAACGCTGACTCGTGGCGATACAAATAAAGTTCTACGCGTCGAGAGTCAAGGGAATTTGTAATCTGTTATTGGATGATCCGACCGACTTCTGGCTACTATGCGAACTTTGTCCTACCAGATGGGACGCGTTTCCCGTTTTACGAAATATCGTATAGGCGTCGAAGCACGTACGGGGGATCTCTTCAGTCCTGAGGGACTATATCCCCGATATCCCCGGCGGGATTAGATGCGCGTTCTCTCCAAAACGTGCGATGCACTTCGAAAGCTCGGAAGGGGGAGCGGTGACACGCACCGGCACTCCACCGATCAGCTGTCGTCTTTTTCTCAGCCGAGAAAAACGTTTCTCGGTTTTATTACTGGAAGGTTGTAAAGCCTAATGGAACGCGGGCACGTTTCGTGATACCGCTGTGTCGGCATTTAAGTACAAGCGACAATAAAAGCTCGTCCCGGCTGCCGGAAAATGGCGCGGGATCCTCGCACGGGAACAAAGACAAATTGTCCCCCACCATGTGATTTGTAGATTTCCAAAAAAAGAAAAGTGACTCTTCTTTAGTCAATTTATAAGACTGTTTTTTAAAAATGTGTAAAGGATTATTCCGTGAAAAGATAACAGGGACTTTCGATATCTGGATTGGTTATCTTGTACTATAATTCCATGAGAAAACATACATAAAAGATTCATTGCTTTTATCCGCACAAATGACGAATACAAAATGGCTTTAACTCGATAAGACATGTAATATATGGCAGAAATTTAATGAAAAAATTATAACAAATCGATAAAAAAGTAATTATACAAAATTATATTGTATTAAAACAAACGAATTCAGTATATACTGCTTATTTGAAACGAATAAGGCGCCTAAACGTGTTCCAATACAACTTGCGTGATGTGCCTCGTATAACAGATTAAGCTCGATTTGGGTGGAGAGAGAGAGAGAGAGAGAGAGAAGAGAGAGCTTATTACACGCGTCAATGACGACATATAGAGATTCAGAACTCGATTGAACGGAATATCAAGCAAACATCAGGAAGTTTTGCGTTGTGCACGATACGTATATCCTAATTTTCACACAAGTACGAGTCTGATCTTATCTCAAACAAAAGGTTTCAAATTGAAAAAAATCTTGAAAAAATCTAAGGATGTAGTTTTACTTCATTGATTTATTTCATCATGTGAACATTATGTGACTCTGAATTGCCTAAAACATTCTCGTAAAATTATCAAAAATGATATGTATTATAGATCATTAATATCTGTGTGCATGTATGTACGTTGCACGGAGTAAAGTAAGATATATTTTCGTAATGTAAGTAATTTCGTGAAATTTTTAACAATGAGAAGCAGAGATTTAACACCTCGTAAAAGTCCGGATTTTGGCGATACTAGACGGTACACATGATTATCGTGCTGCGTCGAAAAAAAACAGAGCACCGCTTGGCTGCTCTTTTCTGTACTAAACAAAATAAAACTATTGCAAAATTATCTACATTGCAAAAATATGTATTGTGTAAAGGTGTTAAGGAACTTTTATAGTATAAAATTATAACTTTAATATCATATTTTGCAATTTTTATAAACGTTGATTTTTGCTATTTATTAGGCTTAAAAGATATCAGTGTCATATGTTTAATTACATGATATTAATTGTTGTTAAACAAATCCTATAAATATTAAAAATAATTGCGCGATATATATTAGATTAAATTAGAATCTTCTATTTATAATAATATATGTACGTATAATTTGCCTCGGGTTGACGTTAAAATTATTCTGGTTAGAACGAGCGCTTGCATAATCATTGCTAGATTAGTTGCAGATGACTACCCAGAGCGATCTGTAAAATAGGTCTGCTGCAAATATCATAAATTTAATTGTATAATACTAAATCATTTTGCACTTTTCATAAATCTTGGAAAATACAAGTTTGATTAAATTAAGATCTTGTATTTAGGCTTCGTGGCCGATGAATAACACTATTGAAAAACAATCCGAAGTGGAAGCAATGATCGGAAACGTTGCACTTGTTCTTATTATTTTTGTGATTGTTTTATTAATCGCATAATATTTAAGAATTATGGATGTATCATCGATTTTCGAAGAAGCAAATTTTTCTTTCCCGTTTATCGCGTTATCTTGATCACCCTTCAATTCTTATAGCTTGGTAATGTTATTTATCACTCCTGTTAAGAACATCATCCCACAAAGACAACTTTAGATAATCAATGAGTGTCGAGACAATATCGCACTTATGCTGATCGACGGAGAACGGACACTTGCGTGATTATGAGATTATCCTGGATGGGAATCGGGAGAGACCTGCACGACATCGCGTCGACACGTCACATCGTCGCAACGTCCTCGGGCTTCGAACGCTGGAATCATCCGTGGCATCTAGGTAACGCTCCGACCGATACACGCCGAAGAGAATTCAAGACGGCTGGAAGTCACATCGAATTACATCGAAGATACGACGCGACGCGCCACACCGCAGGATGAAAGGACATTGGAACGTCGCTTTGCCAACGAGGCAGTCCTTGTTAATCCTCTCTGCTGTGATGTCCCTTCCAGCATATATTTTTTAATCAACTAATTTTCTCGACCAATTTTTCCGTAAGTTGTTCGTAAACGTCAAGTTCAACAAAGTTTGATATTTTTAATTAATTAAAAATGACTGATTTAAAATGCCAAAATGTAAGGAAGTAAGTTTTTTCATTAAAAATGAATTGATCGTTTAAGGAACATTGTGAAAGAGAAGATGTTTTACGATGATAGAACAAAAATTTTGTGAGAATGATGAACAGACAAATTTTAGAAATACGTAGAAAATACTTTGAAGATTTCTTGAATATATTTCTAAATATTTGCGATTGTTTCGATGTCGCAACAGAAATACTAGAAAAACATATTTTCCACAAAAGTTCTGGTTTTTCTGATTTTCATCATTTCTATTGATTCTTTACTTACTAACAAAAATTTACTGACCTTTTTCACTTACTTGTTCGCTTTGCGAACTTTCAAAGATGCTAGAAAATTGGTTGAAAAAAAAGAAAAACAAAAATCCAACTGCAAAAAGGTGAGACGCTCAGCGCAAAGGGTTAAGACACAGCTCCGGTGATGCTCCCGTAAAAGTGGGCGAGGCATTGCCCTCCCGTGAACTTTGGCAGATGTAGGTATCCCAGCCGGCCGAATCCTGAAAGGAGGCGAGAGTGACCTGTTTTGCGTCTCGCTCCTCAGGGTTGTACTCTTTGCGCTCTCCCGCGATCCTCCCGCTCTCTCTTCCTCCCGACCTCGCGAGACGAGCACATCCGAACCGCTCCGAGCTTCCACGATGGGGTGCAAAAGGGAGGACCACCCCGTGTTTGCGAGTGCGCGCTCAATTCCTGCGTATATATGCATATGTATGCTATGTCTGTGTGCGGGCGCGCTCGTTGCGTGTACAGCATGCGGGAATGCGCGAGCTCATGTAGGTCCTCGCTGTATGCACCGGACATTGCGACGGCGAATGAAAAATGAAGTCCGAGCCAGCGCTTTTGCGCCCGGTTGTTTGCGGGGACGCGCATCTTCACGTCCCGAGATGCGCGTGGCATCGCTCGGGGCGATGAACGACGACGCAACGGGGAATGGGACCGGCGCTCATCTCAGAGACTTCTAACATCGTCCGATAATGACCGCTTTTAGCGATAATTGGCCTTGTCCCCTCTGACAGGTACCGAGACTACAGATAGTGGAATTACGCCGATGGGATTTTAATAGGAGTTCATGTTCGCGAATGTAGGCGTCATGACGGCTATTGGCAGTGCCGAAGCTTTTCTTTATGGAGCGATCTCCGTTATCGATGCGCGATAATGCACTTAACTTTGTGCAGTTTTCAGAGCGTGATCTACAGCTCTAGCAAATATCGCGCCAACACTTTCTCCATCATTTAATCCGAGAACATTTTTTTTTTTCAACAAACTTTATAGACGTCAATTGATATCGATAGCTTTTAAGCTTTACATAAGCAATTAAAACTGTGAAAAACTTTCGCAAGAGTTAATGCAAATAGATAAAAAAATTGTTTGTTTATTTTTAAAAGATTTTTTGCTTCAGCAAAATTTCAAATTGAGATCGATCACAATACATAGCTACTATTATTATTAAATTTATGCATATTCAATGAGTTTAAATATTCTTCGAATACTGGAATGTTTATTCTATACGTTTTTCCTGTGATTCGTGATTAAACTTGAATGTATGTTTGGAATAAGATTTCACGATTCAATATTCAACCTTTGCTGTGAACAATTTAAATTAATTGGAAGAATTAAAAATGGCGACAATTGGTCAAAGTATCTGTGCTTTCTTTGTGACACTTGACAATTCTTAAAACACTCTTTGTTCAAAACGCTCCTGCTGCTTGTTTTGTTACAATTACAATCGACAGTGTCTTGAGAGTTACAGGACTCTGAGCGTGAATCTTGCACAAGGCACGGCTCGTGATTCGACGTTCGTTGCTCCGCCGTGAGAACAAGAACGGTCTAACGCTTTCGTTTCCGCATGTTTTTTCTCGCGTACGAGCAATTATTATGGCGATCGGTATTCGGCGAAATGTGTCGGTAGGCTAAAACTTTACCCCGTTTTCTATCTCCGTTTGTCTGGATTGCTGCCAGGGTAATTTTAGATTTTATTCGACGCTCAATAGTCTATTTTAATTCCGTGAAAGCGGAGCATAAAATGTGACAGACGGCGCTAGATTTACATAAAGTTTACGTATCTGCGTAACTAGCGGCGAACCGATAACTATCTATATAGGTGTCCTATATCGTATACATACGTAGCTCCGCGGACTGCAAGTCCCGTTCTCCAGTCAGACCGCAAATCGGATCGACTATCGAACGCGTATTGGAATATCTGTCAAAAACCACGACACACCGTAATGAACATCTCTTTTTGTTAGCATCTGACTGTAAATTGTTACGCTTCGGTAGTTGAAAACACTTAAAAGTGCTGGCAAGCTTCGATATCCGCAGAAACTATCAACGGATAAATTACGTACAAGCAGTTAAATCGCAGAATGATCGATTCAAAACTTTTGCTGCTAGTAATTAGAAGGAAGTTTTTTTACCTCGCGGTTTATTAGTTTTATAAAAAAAAATCAGGTAGAAGTATACTCTCGTTTTCAGAACATTATATGATGGCATCAATATTTTTTCAACTAAACTTTTCTCATCTTCGATATTTGTTTTCCAATTTTTAAGATTTTAAAGATTTAGAACTGCAGTTTTAGAACTTGAGTTACATTTCTTTCACAATTTTTGCATCGAGGAAACTTACAGCCTATCCCTTTATTTCTATTTTATTTTTAGCGAATAAAAAATATTAGTTAATGGTAACACGACAAATGATTGTCTGTTTTCTTTGGGAAAGAATTAGTGGAAGGAGAACAAGTTAAATTTCAGTTAATGCCAGCTAATATTTATGATAATAATTTCGGTCGATTAGCACTTCATTCGTGTTGTTATGCTTTCGAAGCGCCGTGCTACTGGCGTTGATTTAAGCCCCCGAGCTTAATAGGCGATGTCGCTCGTCTGCGACTCGCCACCGGCTGCAAACTCGTTCGACGAATCTAACTCTTATTAATGATTAAACCACACCCCATGATGAGTCCTTGCCAAACTCATGCATCTATGACAGCTCGAAGGCGGAGCGACGGCGGGTCCGAAGACGATTCCCGTCGGTCGCGATTGGTCGGGTGTTCTTAAAAATAGTCAACCGGGGTGTGACCGCGAACGACACATGTAACGCGTAAAATATTCCGACACATCTTTCGACGGGCGAGCGAGTGTGAACGTGAGCGCGCGAGCTTAACGACGCACTCGCGCGCGCGTTAGGAGATGCCATGTGGCGGTGGGACCGATACTACACGCCCGACGATGTTCAAAGTCTTCACTCTGATCTCCGACTACAAGGTTTACGGATCTGCGTCGCATCCGGTCCGACGACCGGCTCGGATGAAGCGCGCGAAAAGCTCGTAGGATTTCATTCGCTGGCGAAAACGGCGAAATCGGCCGCTTAAGATTCCCGCGAGTCTCGCGATATCACACGAAGTACTTCTTTTCGGTGATCGAAGAGTGCGGAATGTCGATCAATTAACGCGTATGTGTTCGACATACTGTGGCAGATATGCAATAATCGTCGCGCAGTGAAAAGAAAAAGAAACACGGAGAACGGTAAATTAAATTGAGTAACTTAAACAACGATCAAGGGAGGAATCTTGACAGTTTTAGCGAATCAGAGCGGAAGAGTCCGCACCTTTCGACGGAATTGGTCAAGAAAGAACTGCAAAGCTAATAAAGAAGTTGAGGAAGAGTTAATACCGACTATCGAGTGCATCCGTACTTTCAGCGCGACTAGTGATTCATCATTCTTCCGAAAAGGAGGGAAAAGTAAATTAAAAGCGCTGTCGCGATTTTGTGACAGATAGCGAGTCGTTTAATTTTACTTTTAGATTAGCTGATTACTCTGTCTTACAGTCGGTATTACAATTTCAAGAGATCATACCTTCTGATAGTTAAATAGAAGTGAACGAACCGGGTATAAGTGGTTGTTTGGTGAAGGATCCAGTGATCGAGACGCGGGTGATGTTACTTAAAAGGAAATTCAACTGAATTGCGCGCAATCTCTTTCTCTCGCCGGAAACAATCCGAAAAACCGCCCGTAACTTCGCCCGTGATGAGCGAGCGCGAACACGTGGACGATCGGTGTGCCTCGAGAGCTGTCTCAAGTGATCGAGTACAGTGATTGGCGAGACCGTCCGACGAATCTCGCGTGAAATGATGACTCTCGTGACGGACGCGGTGCCCTACGCTTACGAAGCGGTTACGAGGTCGCCCTACGACGGCTACCGTCATCACTTGCATCATCATCACCATCACCATCATCACCCTCATCCTCATCGATATCGGCGCGTCTACACGCCGACGGAATCGGAGTACCTGCAGGGATACGTTCCCAGGAGGGACGCGGACGATCGAGCAAGGATTATCAGCGCGAACAACGCTTTGGTGTCGGCCGGCTCTTTGAATTATCGCAACGACCGCAGGTGAGATTTTATTTATTCACATTACCTTTTTTCATGCTACTTGATGGATTTGAATAGGATTTGCGAGAGCCATCGCTTGCATTACCGCGCTGAAACAAAATCTATAAAAAAAAAGAAAGAAATAAGAAAACTTCAGTTTACGCTGTGTGCAAAGTACGTTATAAATTCTAATAAATATTACAACACAAAATCGAATTTCTTCAAGTTTATTTTGTCATCGGAATATACTGGGGTAAGTCAGAAATTATCGGACTTACCTTATTTTTTCTGACTTACCTTCGTAATAAATATACTAGATAAAAAGTTTGCATAAGTTAGCATTGTAGCATTTTAAAGATGCTGGCTAAGCGGAGTTATATATAGCGCATTTCTAGAATAAGACTGGTGTACTCAATACATATGCTCGATACATATGCTCAATACATATGCTCGACAACATTTAATACTTTTTTCTTTTCTGAAATATCGGGCTTTTATAAGAGAAACGACACTTGATGAATTAGTACTTGAATGCTCTACAGCTGCTGATAGATACTTCAGAAAACATGACTAATTGCTTTTCATTCGTGAGATACGCCACGTGGCAAGATTGATTATTTTCTCGACATTCTTCAGCCTCATTTTTTCAATATCTTTTTTTTTTGTGCGGAATTCGACGCGTGATTGAAATTCACGCGATCGAGTTGGATTCGTTCCTATTTGATCCGTCGTTGTTCCTATTATCTGCTGTCTTATTGTTACATTATTAGAGTTCAAAGTTGTAAAGATGTTTCGTTGGATTGAGCGATTCACACATAACAAAAACGATACAAGCTTTTACAAATTCTTGTCAAATTATCATGATAAAGGTCTAAAATTTTCATACGATATATTCGATTCATCTTTATGCAAATGAGATTACTTGTCTTGATTTTCTGCTTACGCTACGTATCACACTTGTATGATAGTTTTGTTTTTAGATTTCTACATTTCGTATATCGTATCGCGCATCAAGATCTATCTTCTTGAAACTTTCTATGTATTTCTTTTACGTCTCGTGGTTCTACTTGATAGTATTGACATGTTATTGAATTTTCTCGGACTAAATCGAATTTATCCAACGAAAACTGATTTACTGCTGAAGCAAAAGCTGCAATATGCTGTTATAAACCAATATATAATAGCATTATTACTGCAGTAAATGGTAATTATAAGTAACTATAAATTGCACAATAAATTTTGCTTATATGTTTGACGTAAAAATATATTTCTTTTATTATATATAAATATTATTTCTTATTGTTAAATTATTATTATTACATAAATTAATTAAGATTTTAAATATTAAGTTGCTACAACTATTTCAAAAAAGGAAACATAGAAAACGTGTAAAAAATTGCTCAAGTACTTTTGCGATTGACACAAGGATTGAAAATTATATCATTTTTTATTTTATACTATGTTATCCGATCTCTTCGGATTTTCTTTCCCCATTGATTCTTTTGTTTTCTCTCGACTCTTCTCTCGCAATAACACGTATTTCAACGACACGCTTGTGGTGGCCGAATCGAAGAGCCGCAGACGAGAATCGTTATCTCGAGTGAAAACTCGACGACGGTTTTACCGCGCATTAAACCATTTTCACTTCGTTCATCGTGTTTCTCTACACCCGTCCTCTCACGATGAGGTGGGGGAGGAGCGGGAAAACGTCTCTTCACGGCGAGAAAATACGCTTTCGCGAGACCACCTGGAACGTGTCCAATCGCGGAAACCGCCTCCTGACGAACTTACGCGCCTGCATCCATTATTAACTGCCGTCCGACGGCGATAACTAAAGGATGATTAAGGCAAGAATCCACGAATCCGTTCACTCGCTAAATACCTATGCCGGGTCTTTCAGCGTCTGGTACATACGTCACGCGGTTCTTACGCGCAGCACGTGTCGACGCAACAACGTCTCTTCCGCATGAGACGACGTACCGCGGAATTTATATCGCGGTATATACGTACGTAAGGACAAGTGTTACATTGCGTCGAAATGTGTACGCCGTGTGAAAAGTAACGGCGATGTATTCTCCGTTATGGACGCTGAATCATATGAGAGAATATAGGAAATTGCATTTATTGGTTTTAATATTGAAAAGGACCTTTTAAGAAACATCTATTTTTAGTTAATCAGAATTCGATGCACTGAATAAATCAATACAAGGATTATTATTTAGAAAATATGAAATTAATAATAATGGTGTCGTTCTATCTTTTTGTATACGCAGCACTGATAGAAATAAAAACATTCCATTTTATTATATTTATAAATTCTCTCTCTAATCTTTGTTGTTAAAAATTTTTTGTCGTTAAAAATTAAAAATATTTATATAGGAATCGTCGATTGTGAGATCCCAAAATTCATGTTGTATCATGTTTACTTTTCTTTCTTTGTAAAACTGTTGAGGTGATTGTTGCGCAAACAATCTTCTAAAGATTATGTAGAATTATGTGTTTATGTGTATACAATGGAAGATTATGCAAACAAGCGTCAATGTCTCATCAAAACAGCGAATCACCATCGTGAGCAAAAATCCTGTGAATTATTACGAATTGCTCCAAATTTTTACGAGTTGTCAAAAGTCGAAAAAAGTATCGCAAATATTTTTTTAATATTATGAATGCTTTCTTCTCCTTAATTCTTTTTTAATTTGAATTGTGATTGAGTTCTTATTTCAATAAATATATTATTAATCGCAAAATACATTGCTTGCAATGTCTCTTTCACGGTCGGATCTCATTTCATACATTTTCGTTATTTTGAGGGGTTTAGAAGAAAAATGAACCACGTCCTTTCTTAAATTTATGTATAAATTGGAAAAAACTAAACAGTTTTCACTGAATGATTTAAAAGTGATTGCAAATAATTGTTAAAATTAAAAGAACTTATGAAAAACAGTGTACATGTTGCACACAATTAGAACAACTTTAACTTTAGACACAAGGCTAATAAGAGCATGAGCTAGTTATTGTTGCTCGTTTATTACATTTGATTAAACAGTGTACAAACGTTTCGGCCTATGAGATACGGCCATCTTCAGTGTACAATTAATTTTAAACTGAACGCTAATAATGACACATGAAATTGAAGCAAGAACGATATTAAGTTGTGCTTGCGTGCTCATATCTTAATTGTCCGTGTCTTTCTTCTATGTGTGTAACTCTATTGCGGACGTATCAAAATTATAATTTTCGTAATTACAAAAGAAAACAATTGGTGATATATAACACTAACAAGCATCCTCCATGTTCTGTCCAAATTGTTAATTATATTATATTATTAATTGTGTTGAAATCGTCATAGACCATCCACCTTGTGAAATATATAATTAGTTAATATATATAAATAGTTTAATATTAATTGTACACTGAAGATGGCCATATCTTATAGGCCGAAACGTTTGTACACTGTTTAATCAAATGTAATAAACGAGCAACAATAACTAGCTCATGCTCTCATTAGTCTTGTATTTAAATTGATTATTGATTAATAATTGAGAGCAGGGAATATATATAATCTCATTTTAATTTGTATTTTAACTTTAGAATTAATTTTCTAACAATTAACAAAAATGGATTTGATCCACTTTTCCTCTGGACCCTTCGTTTATTACGACATTTATTTATTTTTCTATATATTTGTGTGAAATAATGAAGACTAATTTGCATATAAATACTGAATTTCTTAATAGAATTCAAAAAGGATGTAATTTGAATATTGTGGTACCAAATTATGGCTCTTAAAGCCCGAAAGTAAAATGCACGGAGAAAATTTTATATCAAAAATTACTTATGTATGGCAGTAGCCGCGGATCATAAAAGAATTATAAAGATTTTTACCATGTTTTTCATATAATGGCTACAGTGTATTTAAATTTATAATTCCTCTTATGGTTCGCGGCTACTGCCGTATCGCAGTAATTTTTTATATAAAATTTTCCCCGTGTGCTAATGGTCTTCTTCATGATATTGTACGGCTGAAATAAAAGATTACTGTACAATTTTTAATGTACGATCAAAATGAAACATTATTATTATTTTTTTTAATGTTTCCCTATCAATTACGATGGGCATAAAATGTTAGCAGGTCGCAGTCTCGATACACTCTCGATTCGGACGATGCGTCGTCAGTGATATCGGCGGATGCTTCGGCGGACCTCGAGTCCGGTTCCGCAGATGCCGACGAGGCCCACGAGACCAATGAAACCAACGAAATCAATGAGACCAATGAGACGAATGAAGCGAACGAAAGCGAGTCGATCGAGCACGTGCCGCATCCACACGTTTTGGATGCTGGCTCGCCGCATGGACCGCGCAGGTGTCTTCTGTGGGCATGCAAGGCCTGCAAGAAGAAAACAGTCACCGTCGATCGAAGGAAGGCTGCGACTTTGCGCGAAAGACGACGCTTAAGAAAGGTTAGTGCTGATTTATTAACACTGAAATAAAACACACATAATTTGCACATTCTATAATGTTTGTAAGAAATAAAGCAGATTTGTTTTTTTTTTTACTTTGTATTTTATTTATAGAAGAATTGATAATATGCGATAATCTAAAATATACCTTTTTTTCAAAGATATTTTTAATAGATTTTTTTACGTCACACAATGTCGTGTTCTATTTTAATAAAACTTACTTTCTACTCTGTTGGCGTTGTCATAAAATGCATTTTGAATTACTCAAACTGCGACGGTAGATGTGCTAAATTATTTACGTAAATCATCGCGCTTTGTCTAACAAGACCTCTCATCTACTCTGTTTTATGGGCCTTGTTAAGACAGCAGCGCATCTCTCTCTCTCTCTTGAACCACTCGAGTAGAAGACGTCTCACTATCCTTTCATCGCTTAATCTAAGCAGGACCTCCTTCTACCCCACTCTACTGGCGATGTTGAGAAAATGATGCGTCTCTAGCCACTCGAGCTGCAATATCCCACTATCCTTTCGCAAGAATCGTCGTTTCATCTAAACAGAACCCCACTTTCCGCCCCGCTAGTGGTGTTATCATGAAGAAAATGAAGGACTTCGGACCACTCCGATCGCAGTACTCCACCTTACGCAATATCCTTTCGCGTGAATCGTCGCTAGTCTAAACAAGGCCTTTCTTCCGCCCCATTATCGTTAAGAAAATGTCGCGTCTCGGACCACTCCGATCGCCGTACCCCACTTTGCGTGCAATATCCTTTCGCTTGATTTAAACAAGATCTTTCTTTAATCTAGATATTATTAACGTGTGAACAAAACACTCAAAAAAATAATCTTGCAATAATAGCTAAAATTTTCTAGGTGTAAAAAATTAACTAAAACAGATAAATGATTAGCAATTGTTGTGATATTGCATATGTAATTACTTAATCAGTTTAGATGACAGAAACAGAATATATATCTGTATTGTTTGTGAACTTTAAAAAGAAAGTTTCTCTAAAGCGCCTATCTATATAAGATCAATCACGTGTTAGATCATGCAATGAATAACATTTAGCAATGGTACCTAAATTTTTCAGAAGCTATTGCTAGAACACTACTGCTATAAATTCTATATGTGACAAACAATGTTTTCACAGATACGAAAAATAGCGATACATTTTTGTTGCGATATCTAGAAATCTAGCTACATCAGCGAAATATTTTTTTGAGTGAACGACGCCTCTCGATTGCAGTATTCCCTTTCACGCTATTTTTATGAGGTTTTAACTAATTGTCAAGCGTTATCCATCATAGAACTATTCTTTTCAATTTCGTAAATACGTCTCTTATATTATTTTTGCAACAAGTGTAATGAAAGTTGCACATTTCTAAAAAAACTATTTTGCTATAAAAAAGTGCTATTTGTTATGAAAAGTATAAATAAAGTTCTTTAAAAACTTTGAAGTGCTATTAATCCACGAAAAAAACCATAATAAATTTGATTGTTTTTTAATGGTATAAAATTATATTACATTGATTATAAGTTTAATTTCTCAATCTAAATTTTCCGACATTATGAGTACATCTTATTTGGAGAATAGTAACATCAATGGTAACGTGCATTTATAGGTATCATATTTCTCGTATTTACTGAATATACGCGCTGCTGTTTTGGCTGGTCTGTTCATAATTACTTAAAGCATGGCACGCGCGAATCGTGTTTTCGAAGCAAACAACCTCAAAGAGAGTGCGCTGACGGAAGGAAAACATCTTAGTACGCGAAGTGATCGTCAGCTAAGCGCCGCTTTGAATGATTATTCAAATGATAAATGTTTCGAGTATGAGTTCAAAATTGAAAGTTATTTGATGTTTGCTGTTGCGTGCCCGTATTATTAAATAAAGTGTCACACATAAAAGTTTTATTTCATATTTAGCAATGGAAGAAATAGCTTTGTCAGATATAAATCTATATTCGACATTTCTAAGATTTAATTTTAATGATAAATATTAGTATTCTATTATATTATCCTATTGTTTATATTATCTTTTTGTTTTATTCTTCAATCCTTGCTATTTTAACGTGCGTTGTATCATAATAAACATATTAATTATAATTTCATACAATCCATACCGCATATTGAGCAATTTCTATTGCATATTGCAGGTTAACGAAGCCTTTGAGGTTCTCAAGAGGAGAACGAGCAACAATCCTAATCAGCGCTTACCGAAAGTGGAGATATTGCGGAATGCTATCGAGTATATCGAGAGTCTTGAGGCGCTGCTGCAGGGAAATCGGCCTTCCGGACACCAGGATCACTCCACCGCCGACAGCATGGTATGTATTACGTTAAACGTTGTAATAACCCAAATTAATAAGGTTAGCGTAGAATGAGATTAGGCTCCGTGGAGTATTTCGTATTTCGAATGCAAATTCCGCATTCAAATTGACCGTGCTGAATTTCATTCATTAATTACGGTCGGTTGTGTGATTTAAGATAATTGTTGGCAGCAGTAATCGTAATGATTTGTTGATTTTGAACGCTAAATATTTTGCTATTTAATTGAAGAATATTTAACTGCGCGAGATTGAATGTTTTAGTAATTTAGTTGGAACAATCGTGAGATGGCATTGCAATTTGCACTGCCCATCGACATAATGGCTTTTATAATATCGTTAAAATCGGTGTGAAATTGTTAATTTTTAGAAATTTATGAAACAGTAGAAAATTATACTCTATATTAATCTCGCACATGCAAACTACGGTTGTATCTGTCTCACAATTATCTCGACGTTTTTATCTGTATAGAAAAAAGGAAGAGATTTTCATAAAAGAATGAAACATTGTACCGTTGCAACAAAATGCATTTAAGGGTTGTAGTCTACACACATGTGCGACACGTGCATCGCACACGACCGACCAGCTCTAATGGTTTTTGACCCGCGACACCATTAAGCTCGTATCATCGCTTTTTCCAGTGAGCGTAAAAAAGGTTCTGTCCGAGTTTCTCGCTCTCAAAAAAACGCGCTGCATCGTTTATGATAATTACCATAATGAAAACACGCTAAATTGCAAATAATATATGCAACTCTCATAAAACAAACGTTTAGGGTGAAAATGAGTTGAATGCAATTTTCAAAGATTGAACATAAAAAGCTGTGCCTAAAAAATCTTGCACAGTATTTTATACATATATGTTTGCAATAATAATAATGCATTTATAAAAATATTGCTTGCAAACTTACGTTATAATTTTAAAAAGATATAAGAATATTACATTATCTTCATAAATTTTGTAAATTCAATCACAGTTGATATCGTTAAATTATACGCGGAATATTATTTCGTATCAAACAATAACGTTATTGTTAAAAAGTTAACATGTTAATGTGACAATGCATTTTCACTTTTCTGTGTTATTCAGAGCTCACCCACGGAAATCCCGTATATTCTAACGAATTCTAATGAATTTGCAAATGAGAGTTTCCAGTTTGTTGAGTTCGTTAAGTTTTGCATCGAGTGACAGTCAGTGATATATTGCGAATGGATGTCTGGCAGCCATTCCGATTTCAGACATTAATTGGAATGTAATTGTGTTTCTCTTTTGAAGAACCGAACTCGTCTGACGCGCCAATCAAGCTTTATCCATTGCTGCAATCGATCGATATGCAGATTTGTGCGCTTCGTGTTTATTATTTCTGCGAATTTATATCGCCGAGAGAGAGAGAGAGAGAGAGAGAGAGAGAGAGAGAGAGAGAGAGAGAGAGAGAGAGATATTTGGTTGAAACAAATTATGATTATTGTCCGACTTCAAACTTATAAATTTGCATGGAATTTGAATTAAAATTGAAAATTGCTCAGCTGTTGTGTTTTGTAACAATGTCTCTCAATTCATCTAACAATAAGAGTCTCGTACGGTGTCTCGTGTATAATTTGCTATTGAGTTGCGAAATATTTCGGTGGGAGTCAAAGGGCAGAACGGGATTAAGTGATCGAACTCTCCGGTTCAGAGGATCGCATAAATTCCAGCCGCGCAGCTGCTAAGAAACAGATCCGCGCGATCCGGCGACGAGAGTGGAATCCAATTGAACTCCGGCAAGCTTATTTTCCTCGGGAAGCAGCGCGAGCAAGCTTATCCGTCCGCTGCTTAAAGTGCTCCTAAGTGGCATTATCGAATGATTCCTATCGTCTATCGTAATATTCTCCTATATCACAAGGTGAAGAAACGGGGGCGGAGAGGTCAGGTCGGTCTGATGGATCCGACGTGAGAGATGTTTTTTCCCCCGCGTTGTTTTTTCGGCGCTGTGAGTTGTAGGATTTCGCCGGCGCGAAGTGGCAAGCTTATATTTAGCGGAGGGTGCGCGCGTGCGAAAGAGCGTGAAAATATATTTCATTGTGTAATCCCAGTGTGCGGGAAGAGGGAAGGTCTTCTCCGTGAACGACGCGGCGGGCTGAGATCGTCGCGAAATTCCTGTGCTCGCTTGGGAATCTCTTTTCCGCTCAGCGCTCCACAAAACTCGCCGGCTCTTCCCCCCCCCCCCTTCTCTCTCTCTCTCTCTCTTTCTTTCTCTTGTTTCTCCGCGACGCGACTTACGTTCCGCTGCCTCGAGTCTTACAAAGTCCGGGCTCAATTTGTCTCGCGCTTTCGTCGAGACCTCCTTGCTTGTCGCGACGGCGAGCCTCGCTTGACCCTAAGACGCGAATCGCCGTTGGGAGGGATTCGTTCGGTATTAATACTCGAGGATATCGCGTGTTCACATCTTGGGATGCGCGTAAACACAATCGGCACTGACATCGCGATAAGTTTGCCGAAACGCGCCGTGCAAACTGACCAAATTCCCCGGTTCGAGATTAGCGAAAGGATTCTCAACTGGGTACTTTTTATGTGAAATTTACTAGTAGAGTAAAATTCATATTATTGTTATTATTATAAAATGAGAAAATTTTGAATAAACTTGATTTAAATCTTTAAAAAATCAAGACCTAAGATTTTATCGATCAGCTTATGCGTAAGATAAATGTACCTTTTACCAAACTGCTCCAATTATACTGACCAATTTATTTACTATTTACGTTAAAAAATAATAGCCGTTAACAGTACAATCATCAAAACAACTGATTCCGTTGCATAAAAGTTCATGCAATATATTCTCAGTTGTTTTGACGATCGTACTGTTAACGGCTATTATTTTTTAGCGTAAATAGTAAATTGGTCGGTAATTGGAGCAGTTCGGTAAAAGGTACATTTACCTTAGACTATGTTCGTGACAAAGATACTTGTTCTTTCGCGATTATTATTGCACGCGGACCGCCTTCTTCGGCCTGTAGTTGTTATTTCGGCGATCGCAGCCAAACGCATGATTATACTTTAATTTCTACGGCGCATATCACTGCCGAGAGTGTGTCGTGGTGAAGCGTTTCTTGAAACACGCGGCGACGATGCGAGGAGTCGCTTTCACTCCGAGAATAGTCCGCCGCGACGCCGCATATAGATGCGCCGAGGACAAATAGATGATATGGGACCGAATAAAATGCACGCGGGGTGTTTAGCGAATGTGTTCCCGCCGGATTGAATGAGAGATAGTGGAAGAAAAATGGATTCGGAGGCCGGGAGGGCGTTCGGCATTCCGGCGCGTCGTACTGATCGATACGTGAGCGAAAGGGAGAGAGAGAGAAAGTGCGAGGGAGAGCGGGAGAATGATGGAAGGAGAAAAAGAACGCGGCCCACTCTCGTGGAGAACGAGAAGTGATTCCCGATCACGGACTTCATTCCGCGCCTCGCACACTCCCGGAATGCATCGATGCGCATTCGCCGACCGTGCTCCGACGGTAGCCATCGACGGGGAAAACGAGCTTTCAATGTCGATCGAAACGATCGCCTTCCTGTTAAGCTTTGATTTCTAGCTGCCTCGCTGCGTTCATATTCCCGCTTTTTCCGGCTTTTTTTTAACGATTCTTACGCTTTTTGTCAGAATTTTATCAGATCAATCACATCGTTCACATCTCTAATTTCTCGTAAATCTGTTGGAAACAATGTCGCTGTGCTTAACTTTTCTAATTCTCTTTTTCGTCGCGCTGCAGTTTTATAACGAGTTCGTTTTTAACGAAAAATTTATTTAAATATAATTTGTACGTGTATCTTCTCGTTTCTGACATTGTAATGCAAGATAATGGCCAGGATGATTTAAGTGTTGCCACGGCTCAGTTCTTCGCGTCTACGATGACAACAATTTATATCTGTCTAATTTTTATTACTAGTTTCTTTGTAATATAGGCTTTCGTGTGAAAAGAATTTATTGTTAGAAATAAAATATCGTGTAAAAAATATGCGATACAAAATTAGAAAATGCTTAAATACTTTTTTCACGGCGATTTATAGCGCGAAAGCAGTATAAAAATTTATCTGGAATGTTGTCCGGCAATATTTATCGAGGCATCGCTTTTATAGATCGAGTACAATAATTACTGCTGTCTAGACGCTTCTCTTTGAAAATCATTGAATTATTTTTGTACAAATAAAAGATTAAATATCACACGATAACGGGTTGCCAGGCGTGACAGACCAACAGTCACCAGAGGATAATCGATAAAAAAAACTAAACCTCCATTTCCGCTGTAAACTTTGGATTTTCAACTCCGTATTTTGTTAATGTGATAACTCGTTGACGTGAAAATAATAAAACATCAAAGATAGCAAAATATATTTATCTTACTCAGTATTGTAAATCGCGGACTTTAGGGTATATTTTGCGATGAGTGGCGATAAGTACGAGATTCACGCGGCGTCAAAAAGCCGTTTTATGTCCCGCTTGCAAAGATTCTTTTCGCTCATACGTCCTCGGAGATTTCCGGTAACGCGAGTGATGTGAAACTCACGCGGGGTGCGAGAATATCTCGCACTTAAGCGCGCTTCGTATTCCCAGCCGCATGATTATTCGGAATTTATTCAGTCATCGCGATCCACGGTGCATTATCGCGCCTGCCGGCGCGGGTACATTAGCGCGTTTATATATTCCCCGCGCGCGCACGCGGAGAGACGTTTACGTATATTGCAGGCAGAATCTACGATTGCTAAGTAACGTCGCGTGTTTCGGTCCCGGGAGCATTTTGTTTCTGTAAACGCTCCCGGCTCGTACGCGGCCCTAAATTGAGGCGAGGCGACGGCCTCGTAGAAGCTGACGTATCCTGCGGGGTTTACGACGCCCGTCGACGGCATAAGTCGACCGCGAGGAAAAACTCTTCTACACTGTAGCGACTGCGTAAGTATTCATTAGAGGAGACTCATTCTGCCCTCCGAATCCCCCGAGCAGAGACGCGTTTCAGACCAAGCAAGACAGACGCATTTTCATACATAAGAAAGGCACCACGAGTGTGCCATTTGAATTGTTAAACTAAAATGAAATATGTAAATTTTTTTTAATTATCTATTTCATTTATTTAATTTATGACTTTATATTTCGTTGAAGTTTTCTTTTCAAAAAAAGAAAATGGCTCGCCGTCTTTCGCTATGGGAATATAAATTTCTTATTATCTCCCCCTTCCCTTCCTCCGTCATCTCCGACGACGTTGTCCTGCACGGCTTACGCTGCGCGATTTTATCGCCTAATTAGAGCCAAATCCGCGCACCGCTCACAGTCACGCGTTACCACAATTATGTCATGATTACGCGGTATGATTACGTTGGTTTGTATTACGACGCTATGGCGCGATGTAATGCGTATCGCGGGAGCTGTTCGAAAGGGCTTTCGAATGCGATCGGATTAATTGAATGCGATGCATTTGCGACTCTGCCGGCTGCAATACGAGCAGTTGTAAATTCTAAACACAAATATGTGTTCATTAAAGTGCTCTTCGAAATACAGGCGTCTCAATCGATATTTCATCAATCATATTATATTTTTATTTCACGTCTTGCATATCTTTTTTTAAGTGTACTAAATGTTAAAATAAACTACAGCTTGGTGATCCGTGAAATCGGAATCACGCTTAGATAAATTTTGCCGTTTGAAATTACGTCAGAATTAAAGTCCTAAATTTATGTGGGATTTACGCTATATTGTCGTGAATCATCCTTGATATGTCTCTCTTGGCATATATATACTGATGAAGTTGAGTGAAGTACTCGGACAACAAGACTAGAAACAAGCTCGTCCGCTCGTCATAGTGTATTCTCATTATCTAGAGAGGGAGCATTACATTTTGCGCTTTTGGGATGAGGCCGAAATATAATGACATTGTAAAGCTTTTATAAGCACCTTATTAATGACTGGAATTTACTGCAAAAGCAGTGTTTTTAGAATCGTACTGTAATTTTCAGCATCTTTTGGATTATTCGTACGCAATTAGATATACAAAGTTTATTAAAAATAGGTCACATTAAACAATAATTAATACAAATATAATTACGGGAGAAAGTATTTCTTCAATTAGATTATTTTTCGAAACGTGAAATATTTCTACAGAAATCTGAATTTTTCTAGCAAGGCAAATGATAAAACAGATATTAATCATCGCGCGTAATCCGCACGCAAATTCGTGCGAAATAATAGCATTTGACAAAAATGACATTAATATCGTTTTCAACGAAGTACCTCGATTGATGCAAACAACCGAGAACAGTGAATAAATGTGCAGTGCATTCGATTTTCAATTTGCGCATCCATCGATGCGCTTTCTGTCCGCTGATGTGCTAGGTGGTGACCCAATTTCGCGAACTTCGCGCACGGGCTGCGCGGCGTCGGGGAAGCAAATTGGGTAACGATAATTCCAGCGATTCCTCCCATCGCTGCTTCCCACCTATCGTCGTCACGCTCCACTCGCTGAATACCTTTAGGATGATCCTCGACCATAGGATAAACTGAAGCCCGACCGGGTTAATGGTTCACTCGAGCACAACCGGAATTCGTATCCACTATAACTAAGCGAAGATTAATTCGCTGGGAAGTCGAGCGATCTGGACATGTATTGTACATTTCGCTACGGAGAGTTTCAGCAGGTGGAAAGAAATTGTGAAAATACTCTTGTGTTTTTCTCCGATTTTATATTTCTTCGTTTTAATCATTCTCTGTTTATCGAACGCGTATCTTTGTCGATTAATGTGTTTTTAATTAAATACAAGGACATATTAAACGATGTTTGTTTGTGATTTTTGAATATAGTGTGATAAATTTTAAACTTAATTTGTTTAGAGAAAAAGTGACGAAGTGCTACCTTTTCTTATTCCATTTGAACTCACGATATTAATGGTTTCAGTTTCCTCAAATTATAATTAACAAATTATAGTTAGCTTTCGACGATATTTTAAATTTTAATCAAAATATTAAAATAAGATTGACACAACATTTTGCTTATTTAAAAAATTAAATCTCGGAATCTTTTCTCCAGAAACAACTAGAATACATTTCATGTAATTTTTAACAACTTTGTGTGTATTGTGTAGAATCCTAATGGAATAAAATAAGAGCATACGTCTAGACCTTGGAGGGAGATGGGAGAAATATGAAACCGGCAGACTTGTTAGTTACGAGAGAACAAGGCGGAGTGGCGCGATCGATGCTTTTCTATCAGAAGGTATTTGCGAGATATAGTTAGTCGATTTAATTCGAATCCGTCGTCTTTCGTAATCCATCCTGTTGGGAATCCATTATTCCGGAACACGCTCGTCCGACCTCGCGAATGATGTGCTCGTGACGTGCCCTGTTTCATTTGCGTCGCGAAACGCGCATGGAACCGCCACATTGGAGCGCAAACGGCTACACTCGTTCTCTTATTTACAGAATGGAGAGTCGCCGCAGTACGTGACGGACAGGCTTCGGCAATTCTCGGATCCTTTGGCAAGGTTTCAACCAATTAACGGTGAGTGGTATTACACGCGTTCCACCCTGCTTGCTTACAAATTTAGGCTCTCGGGGGAAAGTACTTAACGCCGAAAGAGATCCTCCTCTTCCTCCTTCTCCCTTTCCCTTCGTCCCGTGAGATGTCTTGCGATGAATATGACTAGAGTTGAATTGCATGACGAAGGCGGTATTGAAACGCGAGGGAATAATCTCAACTGTTACTTTAATAATAATGTTGCAGTAACAAAAGTAACAAGTTCGGAAGTTGGATATCGCGACAAGCATCGGTAAAAAGTTGCCGTAAAACTTGCTTTGTTTAATACGCACATTTTATATAATAATTATCTGGTTTTATTGCAATAATGCGTTACTTTGCGGCGCAAAAGAATTTCAACTTTCTTTCCTAACATCTTATCAATGCAATTTTTGTGTATGATAGTTGACGTCGCAATTAAGATTAGATTTTTAATAATAATTATGAATTAGTTTATTAAAGTTATTGGAAGTTGTTATTAAATTGAGATCAGAGAAATCTACTTTGCGTTTTCCAATTTTCGTACACTAAAGCATTTGCCCAAGTCATCTGATTCGTGAGCTGCGATCTCTTGTGCACGCTGAGCACGATTATGAATTCTATTATTGCAAAGCGTGGAAAAAAGAGCGTCCGGAGTATCCTTCTGTGTATTCTCTCGCAGAAGAAACCGCCAAGTGATTAGCGCACCGTATGCAGCCCCGCGGATTCTTCTCCCTCATAACTTGTCCTGTCGCGCAAAAAATCATCAACATCTGCATCGCATAAGGCTGCATCAGCACCGAGTCACAGTCGATGCTCGACCGCGCAATTTAAGAACCCGTAAGATTAAATTCGTGTTCGCTGTCTCGCGCATAGGTCGAGTAAAAATAGATGATATTTACGATAAGTATTTTGCTAATACATACATACATACTACTCTCATCAAGACCACCGAATCTGGTTTTAATAATAGAGTCTAGAAAAAAAAAATCATCTTTTTTTGGACAAAAATTTAGTAAAAGGCCAGAATTCGCGAGTTTTCAATTTTTCTAATATTTTAGTATAATTAGAGTTATTATAAATAAATGTATGGAGACAAAATTATTAGTGAACAATTTTGAATGTAACGATTTTATTTGTCCGAGATAAGAAAAAAATTCAGAAAATATTCGATATCCTGATGTGGAAGCAATAAACCTGTATTACACGGCAGTATCGAGAATGTTGCCGGCAGCTATAGGTCAGATACAAAAATAATATCTCAGTTTGTTTGTATGAGTCACGATTGGCTGTGCGGACTCATCTAAAATAGTTTAACTGCCGGCAAACAGGAGCGATAAGACTGAAAGCAGTTCGGGCCGGGATCGAAACTTCCGCCGCTTCCGCTTCCTATCCGCGCTACTGCTTTATCACCGCCGGAGTTCCTCGTAGGAGTTTCTCCGGGGAGAAGCAGAGGATATGCTCGAACGCGAGTATTAAACGCGGTAGGATCTACGCGGTGTACGTTTCGTGAGTGCCGCGGCATGATCGGGAGTGTCCGGAGGTCCCAGGATTCGACGATGCGCGTCTTACAAAGTAAGCTGACACGGATGATCTAAAATGGCGGGTTACTCGCACGCAGGTATTTTTAAGTAGATTAATGTCGGACACGCAACGGAGCATTAAGCAGATCGGTATTAATGAGTTTTGTCACCCTTGAGTGACACTCGGTCGCCGTTCGGTTACACTCGCCCGCTATAGATAGCCCACCCGTGCGCGCTTCTCTGCGCGGTGCAACATTTTCCCCGTCTCTCCCGCCCGCGCGCGCGGTTGCTCGCGCGTAAAGACGATATATCGCGCCTACGAAAATCTTCGGATGTGCACCGTGGAAACTGATGAAATTATCCGACGCCCGTGTTCGCGAGTTGTGCTAAAAGAGCAGCGCGAGTTGGCGCGCAGAAGTCGGATAATCGGACAGCGCGTCATCTCGTTGACATCGCACGTAGAGGAGTGTCGGATAAAACAGAATGAAACACGACGAAACTAGATATCACGCTCATTTGACTCAAGAGCGTTGTTTAATTATTCGCGAATTTCCGTTTAAAAAAGAACAGGCAATGCTTAGATAATGCGGAGAAAGCAACTATATTGCTAAATTATTTTTATTGAGTTGAAGCCTTTGAAATTTAATCTAAATGAATAGCATTGTTGAACAATTTTGTTCGCTAAGTATTAGCTATGTGATCAATCATTTAATATAGCTTGATTGGTAATTAGTCTTTCATAAAATGAGTAATTTTTAAGAAAAGCAGATTGCCGGCCAACTTTGCGTCGATCAATCTTGCGCAACGAATGAATATTGCAGTAGAATTTGATACCCAAGAAAGAGTAAGTTGGTCCAGTTTTCAAGTTTCCGATTTTTATATTCATGAGATCTCCGCCGACTCAGTTTCTCGTTACCGAATAGTTCCACGGATCCTGCGCGTTTGGTTTAATCGGCATACAACGCACTCTCATCTTACGGTTTATTTGCTCTCTGATTATTTTCACAATTAAAAACCCCGTTTACTGTTTGCTTTCTAAAAACTTTATCCCGGTTTTAAATGCTTGCACGCTTCGGATTCTATTAAAACTTTGCGCGACGCTCGGAAAGCGAAAGGGTTAAAAACGCTTTGTCGCGCGTCTAGCGCATCTGCCCGCCCTTTCTGTGTCGGTAGCAGAACGTATACTGTGAGTAAACCTCGATACCACGGTGGCAATAACCTGCATTAAGCCGGCGCAGCAAATCTTCGTTTACAGCGACATTCCATAAAGAATAGTTACTTCCATTTCTTTTATTTCACGTGCGCAGAAAATATTAATACGCTTTTATTTTGAAAATGGTTATAAAGAGCTTTCGAATGACCGGAATATAAAAGCATTTGAGGGCCCAACGAGAGCACTCGAATAATGGATTCGGGCGGATATTTGATGTCCGGTACGGAGACAATAGAGGCAATAAATCTGGTATGCTATTGCGCCAGGCTGTTTGGCTTGGCTTTTTCAGATATATGCAAACTCGCACTTACTTTGGCGTATATGCTTCGAATATTCACTCTCTTAACTTCCCCAGTTTTTTGCACGGTGGAAAAAAGTTCTCTGAAAGCCGCGATTAAATGTATGCGATCAATTTGACGGAGAGTTTCACACCGAGATAGAAGGAAGAAATTATTCTGTAATTCGAATCGTTGACGTTGACACTATTTCGTACTCTTTACTTCATTGCATATTTGTTGTGTCGCGAATGCCGAAAATATCTTTCCTGCAAAACTTTTAGTTTTCGTCGGAATTTCGCAGTAGTGGATTTTGAGCTCCGCGGTTGTCGATCAATTAAACGACTTAATATGTTTGAAAAAATGTCACCGGTGGCATATTTATATTCGCAATTTATCCGTCATTTTCTGCTGGGCTTATTTTCGATATTTATCAATCACGCGATCCGCAATACGGAGTTGAGATTAATCCTCCTGTCAATAACTTGCGGTCGTTCGCTTTCCAACGATCGATCCTCGACAGACCAAATTTTCGGTGTACACACGGTGCGCGCTGCTCGCTCCATCGCTTTTTCCGACACTTCTCTCTCTCTCTCTCTCTTTCTCTCTCTCTCTCTCTCTCTCTCTCTCCCTCCCTCTCTTCCTCCCTTCCTCTCTCACTCTCACGCTTCGCTCGCGACGATGCTTCGAAGACGACGCGACGCGTTCCGGGATAAATTATTCGGGAGGCAGGAGACCGGCGTTGTGGAGGGCGCGGCTCTATTTTCCGGTCGACCGCCTGCACAATTTCGATCGCTCGCACACCAAGAGAGCTCGCCTCGATGCCACCACGATGCAGCCTCGATCTATGCAATCGATTCTCCCTTCGAAGCCAGCCCCGGCGCTTCGTCAGTCCGTAAGTGCTCGCCGCAAAAAATCGCCGTTGTTGATCGCGTCCGAGCGAGATACGTTGTAATGCTTCGAAGAAGTGCACTGTTGTCAAGCCCCGTGATAAATGAGTGATACAGTCTCTCTTGTCTATATATCCAGTACGCTCAACTTCGCTCACTTCTCCAAAACCCACCGTTATGAACTTCAACTGCGAAATTCATTTTTAACTCATTGTATGCGGTGATTTATTGTACATTCGCGCCTCCACTTAGTGCAGCTAAACGCTTCCTAGCTTTAATCGTCTAATGTGACGGTTGTGAATTACAACTTGCAATCAATTTAATTTACTCTCTCCACTCCAACGCGGGTTATAAAACGCCGCGATAACGATACATGTTATTCGCGCGTGCCTTCAAGCGTTAACAGATTTATCTCTCGTTATATTATAGCGCGCTTCTCAGCACTTACCTTTAAAAGGCGCTTTCGTTTCTACGCATATCCTTTATCAGCTCGTAAATATCGAAGGCTGCTTGCGCCGTCAAGATCAAGACTCACTTAACGCACAAGGAATATTATTAATCGACAATTATTAGCACAGTTATCGGTTGATAATTTTTATTATTGATTTAATATTAAAAGAACAAAATTATTAAATAATATGTCATGGTATAAAATATGTGCTGAAGAAAAATCGACTCGGATTAAGGATGCATAAATAAATTGCAACACGGAATAAGTAATAAAATCTTCTGTATATCATTATACGTACGCGTAACTATACGTATGCAAGTGACTTTTAGGGTAGCGAAGCATCCAGCGAACTTACATATGTTCTCTATTAAATTATTGCGTTTGTGCGACTACCCTGCGAAGGAGGAACCGAAAGACAGAGAGAGAGAGAGAGAGAAAGATAGCGGAGAGCGATCGCTACTTGGACATTTATCCCCGCGGCTATTTCCGTGAGACACTTGTAATGTTTTCGTTTTTCCCTCGTGCCGAAAATGCGGCGGGATTAATTGGCCTACATTCTGAAAATAGATGAGCGCTCGCGCGCGAGTCAGTGCGCGCGCACGCACGCACGCACGCACGTTCGCCGCGGCGACATTAGTCAAGATCGTCGCGATC